CATTACTGTGTGATCTAATTAAAATATATAATTACAAGAGGGGTAAAATGTCTAGCTTACCGGTATAATTGAATTCTGTTAGTGGTGAAAATACTTCTGGCTCAAAAAAAAAAGCACTTGCTATTTGATTTCATTAGGAAGATTCGTAAAGTGAAAGTGATTCACCGAGATAAAAATGATGAAATTGAAAGCAAGGTTAGAATATAATTATAATGGAAAAACTCATGAAAACAAATGTCATGCCCCCTGAAATAAATTTGCAGGAAATTAAAGCAGAAGCAAAGTTCACATTTGGCTTTTCACTTAACTATATTTATATAGCTACATGTTCTTGTATTTTTCAAATCTTGACATTGACAATTTTTCAATAGTAACTAATTTTATAGAAATGTGAAGATTTCCAGTAATACATGAAGCTGTATTATTAATCAACATAAACAACCCAAACATTCATATAATTTACATCATTGAAGACTAACAAAATAAAACTGACTAAATTAACACTGACTCATCTGTTATACGGTAATTGCTAAATAACTATAAAATACATTATGTTTTTTCATTACTGTTCCAATTATAATATCCTTTTCAATCCACTTCCATGTTTATCTGCATTTGTCTAAAAAAATGGAAAAACAAATACTTACCAAAATGGTAGTAACAATCAAAGAACGATTGGATAAGGAATCTGTGATGTTGGCTGGTTTTCCCTTTTGACTTTCTGTCATATTCAGGCCACTGGCTGGATCCCAAGTCCCAATCTATAAAATAGCATATGTACTTTTTAAATTGTACATCAGGCACCCACACGAGAATACTGCAAGAGAAAGTTAAGACTGCTAACGCTTTTTATTCACCTCTGCTGCATTATCTGCCGTCGTTAAAGTAAAGGCTCCTTGTAGTAAGCATGATTCACTGCTCTGTGAAGTGTGTCCCGTGAAGTGTAACATTAAAGAACGAAATGATCCACTGCACTTCTACAGTCAGTATGGGAGCTTAATTTTCCATTCAAACTTTCATTTACCAAGATAAACCACATTTGATTATGCCTTGATAGCTAGCTAGAAACTCATTAACAGCATATACCTTTTACTATAATGGATCTATCCCATCCTCTCATTATAAAGATAACATGGCACATTACATGGACAAAGCTAAAAGAGCAAAACCTGGGAATACAGGATAAATTAATATGTAAAGGTAGGCTTAAGGGAGGAATTGACTAGTAGTCTGAAAAACCCCCAGGAGGGTAAAACCATATCTAGAATTATCTTTGGAGCTTTTAAAAACACACTTTTAAAACTTTTAAAAAATTCCCAGGAAATGAAATTACAGCATGGTCTCATCTTCTTAACCCATTCCAGTACTTCCTCCTGTACTCTATTTTATATGAATTTTAATTTATCTAATACTTTCTGATAGATTAAGCTATGTACTCTCAGTGTTCGACATGTTACACCCACTGAACACGGCCTACGGGATGACACAGACAAGCCTGTGGAGGACACATATAAGCAAAAGATGCCACAAAAATGTGTAAGTTGGATGTTTTATTGGCACCTAAGCCATTGAACTATCACATAACAATGGTCACCAACAGAGGCAAAAGGTGTGGAGTCAGTTGTATTTTTTCTTTACCATCTCAAACCTGGAAGTCATCAACAATGAAATTCTCTTCCATACTCCCCCAGCCAACTAGCCCACTTATTTTCCTCAAAGGAAAGGAGAACTATCCATTTATCTTTAAAATAAACCTTTGTGTGTAAATTAAGTTATTATTAAAATGACATTAAGTTAGCAGATATTATTTACTCTAGTCCACCTAAGTATGCTAAAAAGGATTGCAGCGTGACCTTACCCATAAATATAAAGATCCTTTTGTTTTCTTTATACTTTATCATATCCACTCCTTTTGACCCCTTTTTCATTTGGATGGCTTTCCCACTAACCTCTCAAGACATGTATTTCCCTTTACTTGAAAAAGCATAAAAGTAGTGATGTTAGTAAATTCTTCTATTAAATATGCCATTCTATTGATTATATCTAAGTGTAAACTCTAGAGTATTTTTTCAAGAATGTATTTAACTATGCAAGGGGCTCAATATCAATCTCCTTTTCAGTGATGCCTAAAAAAATCTTGCCATATTTTGCCATGTCGAGCTAATTTTCCTTTTTTTAATTTTTTTTTTAATTTTCTTCTTAACATTAAACACTGTATATTCCAGATGTTTGTATCAGTAAAGGAAAAAGTCAAATAATTCATTGTGAGAAAAAAAATTAGTTTTTTTTTTTTCCTTTTTTCTTTTTGAACTAAATTACCTACTGGCCAATTAAATTTCTTTACATTAGACTATGACTATTAAGATGGCATAAAGACAGAGTCTAATTCTACCCTCAGGCGCAAGACAGGTAACATGAATTTGCAAAGTGGTAGGGTATAAGCCAATAGCAAGTATGTCCATGCAACAGTATGCAGTTTCTAAATCTCAAAATCTCAGTAGCAAATGGGGGCCACAATTCCAACCATTCTCTGCTCACAAAGCTGCATGCCGTAAGGCTGCATGTTCCCAGAGCAAGAGCTTTTTTTTTTTTGGTTTCTTAGCAAAGCATCACCAGAGTTAACAGAGGCCCTGCTGGGGACCTGGGTGTGGGGAACAGAGGGATGTAAAAACTAGAATTCCTGCTGACCTGTTAAAGTGTTTTAAGCTCAAAATCATTAAAAACCACCCTGTTGTAGGGGCCAGCCCGGTGGCGCACTGCTACAGTGCGCTGCTTGGGAGTGCGGGGGCGCTCCCGCTGAGGGTTCGGATCCCACATACAGACCGGCCGCTCACTGGCTGAGTGAGGTGCGGGAGCAACACCGAGGGTTGCGATCCCGTTGCCGGTCCTAGTCCAGTGCGGGCGCGACACTGAGGGTTGCAATCCGTTGCTGGTCACGAAAAAAGACAAAAAGGAAAAAAAATAAAATAAAATAAAAACACCCTGTTGTCTAAACAAGACATATTTGAAGATCACATTTTACAGTGACTGTCACTTTTTTCATCCCTGGTCTGTAATTAATACCTACTACACATTTGTTCCCTTCTTTTTGTTTCTGTTGTTTTTCTGCCATTGGTTAAATAACTCGGTTTTTCATACATATCATACTGCCAACCAATGCGTTAGGAAATATCATTTGCCTGCAAACGACACCTTCAGGATTGCTTGATATATTTTCAACTTTCTAACCAAGTCACTGATACAATGTATTTCCTATTTCATTTAAAGCCACCCTCCACAGTTGCTTTTGTAACAAATAATTTAGCTAAAAGTTTACTCATTTTATCATCTAAACATATTTATCTAGTTTCATTCTCTATCATTGTTTTTCTAGTGCTATGTATACAGAGGAGTTCTGGCTGAAATGCACAATATATGAGTCCATAATTTCCTATAATCACAAGTATTAGTAATTCCCTTTCGCAAATCTCAGGTTTCCTAACTTAACATTATGACGGTTCAGAAATTTCAGTGGCTTTACTCTTAAGTCAAATATATTTTTGTATATTCCTAGATTGTAGGATTTCTGTATTGTGGAATGTATGATTTAAAACTTTCTATCCATTGATGAAACTGTCACCAGTGTTTTTGTTTTGTTTTGTTTTAATGACAAGAACCATGAACTAAGTCAAGAAAATATTTTTTTTCTATTTTCAGAACCACTATTTTACTATACAATTTGATCAAGTCTTTTAAGTACTTTCTTCATTTCTGAAATGGGATTAGAATACATAAGTGCTATTGACCTTTTAAAATTTTTTTTATTGAAACATAATTGATTATACATATTTGTGGGGTACAGAGTTGACTATCAGTATCTGTGTACATTATATAAGCATTGTTGACCTTCCAAAATCGTTTAATTCATGGTGAATCTATGTGTTGTTTTGCCCAGACACTTCAGGTTTACAGTTGCTTTTGTGGTGTGAATGTTAGTAACACCCTCTAGTACAAATAAGAATGTCATGGTTTGGATAATAAAATACAAGGTCACTCTGATTATAAGAACTAAATTAGATATGAAATATAAAGTACATCAAAAGCCTTAAAGAGCCATAGAAAATCATGGCTTTATTCATTTTTATTTTATGTTCTGATCGGCTCTTAAATTTGCTCTTCTGGTCATAAAAAGAATGCATGTTTATTACTGTCAAGTTTTAAAATACACAACAAATATAAAAAGAGAAGGTCAATTTCAACTTTGAATCTATGCATATACCCAGAGTCAATCATAGCTAATGTTTTAGTGCACTTCCTTCCAATCTTTTCTATTTTTTATGTTCCTTGAATAGTTTCCATCATAGCCTTGTAGTTAATGGCCCAGCTTCTGGAAGAAATGTCAAACTGCCTACATACTATCACATGTCCACCACTTACTAGAATGTGACTTGAAACATTACTTCTCTGTGCCTCAGTTTCCTTATCTGTAAATGGGGAAATAATATTATCTACTGCACAGGGCCATTGTGACAATTGAATGAAAAAAAAATCGACATGATGTATTTATAAGTATACTAAAAACATAACAATTATTAAATATATCCTGCTTATACAGTATTGTGAATATTTTCTCCTGACATTAAATATTAATTGAATCCATAATTTTAATGACTGAATAAGATTAACATCATATGAACATATAATGATTTAACTATCATTATTATAAGTAAAGCTTTAGCAAACATAGTTATTTGTAAATATTTGCCTATGCATTTTATTATGTTAAAATCAGATTCTTAGCATTAGAATTACTGAACACAAATGAGTTAAGATTGATAGCACATGTTGCAAATAGCTTTCCAAAATTATTGTTTTACTTATGTTCCCCTTTATAGTTCATGATAGCTCCCAAAGACAACTGATTTTTTT